GAGGAGCCCCGAGAACCCTTAAACCCCATTGTGCTGTAAAACAGAACGGGATCCAAAGAGACACGGAACATAGTTTAAATACGTGCCCTTAAACAATACTCAGCATGGGCGGAATTAGTACGTGGCACAGGAGACACAGAGGGGACGTGGGCAGAGGACACAGGGAGGACACAGAGACACAAGTAGGACACGAGGACACAGAGGGAACATGTCATAAAATAGGCTGGGACAATGTGGTAGTTTGGGGTCCCAGGTCGGAGATTATGCAATGAGAATCATGAAAGAGGAACAGAGACTTCACAAGAAGGTATTGGGCTTGAAAAGATTTGCAAAGGAAACCTGGAGAATGCAGAATCCCTTTACGGAAAAGCGCATTAGCTCCAGGCATTTCCAGAGTTGCAATGCTCAGTCAGCCAACCAGCATTACCTTGGGGCTGATTGAAGCATTCCAGACATGAGATAAGAGTAAAAGAAAGGAACGAACATTAGTCCCTCCATTACCAATTCAGAGAAAAGCAGATAACCCCTTCACTCCCCTCCGAGAACAATTGGAAGGCATCTTAAGGAGAGGCATAGCAGACATAGCTACTCTAAACCAACTTAGAATCCCCACAGAAAGGCAGAAACCAAAACCCTGCAAACAAGAAAGAATCACTTACCTCTTTCCAAGAGCCAGAGCTTACCCAACAATCCACAGGAGGCAGTCTCCAGGAAGGAACCCAGCCTTTAGCAGCTGCCAGCCCTTAAATGAGGAGAGGGAGGGGCTGGAGCCAGGCTCAGCCTCATCTGGTCCTCTAGGTGCATTGCTTCCACCTGTGCTTGCAGGGCTACACCCCTCACCAGGTTCTCCATCACTGCTTCAGGCTGTGATCTCAAAGTTCCCATAAAAGCATGAAAAAAAAGAAAAGAAAAAAAAAGTAATGAAGTAATGACTGGCAGCCAATTGGGTCTGCCTGTCTGGCAAGGGGGGAAGGGCGGGGTTATCAATGGACAAGCTAGGATGGTCCACATGTTTTGATTCCAGTCTGTCCTCAATGGCAATTGGTGGCATTTCTAATAAATAGGGGAGCACAGATTTCTATACTGATACAGCAAGATGCTGAGAAGCTGCATGTGCAACAAAAGGGCTGAGATTACAGGTGTGAATGGAGCGAGTGCTGTCTGCCAAACTGCCAGGGTCAGCTTATGGCTCCCCAGTGAGAAATCTGTGTCATCTACTTGCACAGCAATTAAAGACCATTGTGAAATTATTTTAGGATTTGGTGTCCTCAGTGGGTGAACCTGGCACCTACCCGCATGGCACCGTGAAGCCCTTTGGCTCAAACATCGATCCCAAACCCCAAAGAAATAGGGAGGCTGTAGAGCGCGTACTTCGTGCAGCCCCTGCACTCCTCGAGTCAGAGATCACTGACGTACTGCAGTACCCCATTTCTGCTGCGGCACGACAGGGAAATGCTGAAGTCACTGCAGATTTGGAGAAAAGACAGATCATCTCCAGAATGCACTCCCCATACAAGTGGCCCACATGTGTGGGGCACAAGCCCCATTCTGGGGGCAATGACCCCTACTTGTGGGGCGCTACCCCCACCCCACTGTCACAGCCGTGTGCGGAGGACACCATCACCCCACTGCGCACAGCCATCAACTTCTCCCAGGACTCCACGCACCCCACAGGCATCCCTGTCCCTGTCCTCAACCTCCATGATGACATGGGCATGGAGCGAAGTGGAACAGGTAGTGTGGGGGGAGGTGAGGAGACATGAGGGGACATGTGGGGACACGGGGTTGATGTGTGGGGTCATAAAAAGCCAAAAATGAAACCTGGAGTTGAAGAAAGGCCCTTGGAAAAAAATACATTAAAGTATAAAGAAGACAGAAGCTGAGTGAACGGCCTTGTGCTTTCTGCCAATGGGCTTTAATTTCGTTATCATTACATTTGTTGGGCAGTTACACTTTGATATGCAAACATTTAGAAACGATGCAACGGATGCTGGCAAAAAGAAAAAAAAAAAAAAAAGCCTCTTTTTTTTTACAGCTATTTATAAGCACTTAGCACAGCTCTCCTGGGTTTGGAGAAGTTTCCCTCTTTTTTCTTCGTCTTTCCCTCCACACACCCTCCACGTCTAACTTCGTGTTCTGCCCCCGTCATCACAAGACGCAGAGAGAACGAATCGCCAGGGACTGCGCCGCGGGTCCCCGGCAATCCGTCAGAAAAGTTCTTTCCGCGGTCTCTGCTGCCACCTCGTGGCCAATGCGCGGAACTGCCGCTGCCCGCTGCTCAGGCCGGCAAGCGGTATAACGCATGCGCGTAGAAACGCGGAAGTGGTGTTTTAACCGCTCTGCGTCGCTAATCCGCCGCTCTCTATGGTGATCAGTCCTCCAGATAATAGCGAACATGCGCCCGTCAACTCAAAGATAGCAATTGTTTCGACAAACCGCTAGGGGGACGGGCAAGCAGCCGATTCTCGGACCGCCGGCTCAGCGAAATTCTCCCCTTCTAATCCAGGATGCCCCTCGTCTATTTCCGCCGATTTATGCCCGAGCCCACCCGGGAACGGACCGGGTCGGCTCACAGCTGCCCCTCAAGCGCCTCGTAGCACCCAGTGTCCTTGCCGCCGCGGTGGGGGAGCACACGTCCCCTTCCAGCCCCAGCCCTGCACCGCAGCGTTCCTGGAAAAGCAAGTCTCGCGAGAGCAACACGCACATGCCAATCTAGGCACTGCGCACGCGGCAGTCTCCGCACCGCACTACGCAGGCGCAGTTCTCGAGACCACAGCACGGAGTACGGACGCGCGATTCATGAGAAAGCACGACGCATGCGCCAGTGGTTTAAAAAAAAAAAAACAAAAAAACCACACACCGCTACGCACGCACTGGATTCTGTTCCGAACGGGGCATGCGCCGGACTCTGCCCGCCACGGCGCATGCGCATGTCTGTGCCCTGCAATGCGCATGTGCCAAGTGCTCTGCGCACGCGCCAGCTGCAAGAACGCATTGGGCATGTGCGCGATCGTTCGCACGGCTCTGCGCATGCGCCAGCCTCGGCACCACAATGCGCATGCTTTCCTCAGGGCCGCAAAACGCATGCGCCATCGTTTGCGGCTCTGCGTATTCGCCAGTCTCGGAACTGGACTACACGTGCTTCAGTCGTAGCTCTGTAGTACGCATGCGCTAATCTCGAAGCTGCAGTGCCCTTGCGCCTCTCTTAGAATTGCACTACGCATGTGTCAGTCTCTACACCGCACTATGCATGCACATATCACCGCATCACGCCACGCTTGCACCCTTCTCGACCTACGAGCCGTTCTCGACTGAACGCTACGCATGCGCCAGTCCTGACACTACACTGCGCCTGCGCACGTCCCGGCGGAATAGCACTACGCATACGCTACTCTCGACTTAACTCTACGCATGCGCTAGTCTCAGACCTGCACTGCGCATGCGCACCTCCCGACACGGCGTTCCGCTTGCGCTATGGCCTCATTACGCATACGACGAGCGCAGGCGCCGCTGGGATCTAAAAGGGTCCGTTTCCCGTATGGGCTTGGGCGTATAACCGCCCGAGGGAATGGACAAGTTGCACACTTGGTTGTAAGGGCGGAGAAAATGGCCGAGCCGGCAGTTCAGGAGTTCACCGCTCACCCGTACCTTTGTGAATTTTAGAAACTAGACCTATTTCAATAATTCTCGGGCGCATGCGTACTACAGTCTGGCGGACGAGGATAGTAAAGATTGGCGGATTCGATGCGCAGAGCTACGAGAACGTACGCAAGACACTTCCGCGTGACTGCGTGTATGCGTCGTGCTGCCCGCGGCACCAAACGGACGCAGTTCCACGGATTGGCCACACGATGGCAGCAGAGACCGCGGAAACAACACCTACGACGGGATTGCTGGGGACCTGCCAATCTGGAAAACTTCCGCAAACCCAGCGAACCTGTGCTATATGTTTATGAATGTCTGATAATAAATAAATGATCGAATCGGTGTTGCCAGGCTTTTATTTCTTCCACTGTCTGTGGTGATGAAAAAAGCTAGTATCAATTAGACATGTGTGTGCTGAGAAGCCAAGGATTGTGTGAAACAATTAACAGAGCAACCCAAAAGAGCCTAGCAACTTTTACATAAGCAAAGTACTAATACCTTTCATACCTGGCCTCACCACTCTGAGATTTCTACCTTCAAGGTCAGCATGTCCAACCGCAACCTAGCCATACTACCCTACCAACCCACTGCTCTATTACATCCCTGAGCACCACACCCAAATTTCTACTTGCAGCAATGTATTCCTCCAGCCACCTTCGTAGCTGGTGTCCCCTGGCAGCCAGCAAAGAGTTTCAGAGTTCAGTGAGGCACAAGCTCTCCTTTCTGGCACAGACAAGCCAGGGCTACATATCCTCCCTCCTCCCCACAGCCTCAGGGGTGACCAGTGATGGAAGGAGTCCCCACCAAGCAGTCCTCCCAGCACCAGGGGGAGGAGGTAGTTTCCCCAAAGGCTGAGAGCTAAATAATGGTAAGGCTTGGGACAAACCAAGGCTGACGGCTATTTTTTCTAGTAAAGCAGGAGGAAGATAGTTTAAAGCTTATAAGGAAGCTCATTGCCTGACCATAAATGCAATCTCTCTGTCAGCTCTAATGCTAAGAGAACAGGGTTGCAGCCAGCTGCCTCCACTCTTACCCAGACCTCAGCAACTGGGAACAATCCTGCATATACTGCAGAAGGCCACCCCTGGAACTTCTGCCCTCCCCCTGCACCACTCTCACTGAGCTCACCCCAACACCAATACTCAGAAGAAGCCACTGCCAGCATTGTTCTTGAATGTATTTTTTTTTTACTGAAAAAAATCATTCATAAATTAACAAATACAAAAATGTACAAAGACATGGGTAAATAAATGTAATAACATAAAGGATTGCTTTGCTGAGAATTATGTGTGTGTGTGTGTGTGTGTGTGTGTGTGTGTGTTTTAAAACACTTAGTCTTCAGTGCAAAAAATGTCCCCAGGCACCTCTTAAAAACATAACAGTAAGCTCAATAATCCCAAGAGCAATGACAGGAAAGACACGCTATAGTCTGAAGCCACCTCTGCTGGTGAGCAACTTCAGCTTGTGGCTGTTGCTCAGACAGTACCTTCCCCAGACAAGCAGAGCTTTACAAATAGCAAACCAAAAATAAATACTTTTGCAAATTAAACTCCTATGGCTTATTAAAGTCAACATTGAACATGGCCTGCCCCCCGTGGGACTGTGATACTGTGGTAACATGGAAAGGGTGAACAAGTAGCTTTGTTGGATCTCAGCTGCCATAATATGTACAAGTTCTCTTTGATATGAGAATTTCTACATCATAACAGCACATGCGCTTGACAGTATGTTTTTAACAGTTACACTTACTATAAAGTATCTGACATATCCGATAAGATTAACAGTGCACATTTTATGGTATTCCACATTTTAAAAAGGGAAAAATTCAATGTAATTAGAACAAAAACTATGAACAGGGATGTTGCTGAGGCAAAATGGACTCTTACGCCAACTGTACAGTGCATTTCTGAACAGAGGTAACATCTCACTTTGTTCAACACAAGGTGCAACGGAAGTCAGGTACACTTCAAAGGCTGAGGATTCAAACAAAGGTAGCTAAACACCTACTCACACACACATGCATGATTTCCTGCAGTAGTGAATGTAGACAAGTTGAAATACATTCCTTGTTTGAAGCACCATTAAACAAAGAAATTTCTAGCAATGTCTCAAGATTAAAGAAAAGAGGGTCAGGGCAACACAGGTTTACCATCTGAAAAGGATCATGTGAATTAGAGATCAAGATTCAGAAATGGAAGTCTTTATTGCTATGTGTCATAAAAAGCAAATCCTTACCTCTGCCAATAAATAACCATCCTGAATCCCCTTGGGAAGTGACTTTAAAGCACATGTAAATTCAAAAAGGCTTTAAACCTAAGGTTCCAAACTATCGGCACTTTTCAAGGACAGGCTCGCTGTCCTCTCATGCTGGCCAGTTAGATCTGCACTACCAGAACTCTGTTTTCTAACCCTCATTTTCCAGATACAGGTTAGGAATGCTCTGAGCAGTCACTCCCACAACAGATGTGTATGGGGATCACACATCTAAGAAAGGAATGTAAACTATGAACAAGAAGGAAACTTAAGGTAAACAATGCAGTAAGAAGAAAGTTAAAGTACTTCTGAGATTAAATACTCACAAGTGCTTTGTATAAATATAATTTAAAACACAACCCCCAATATATTTACCTTTAAGTTGGGGAAGTCCAGTAAAAATGACTGTATACATGCTGTGTAACCTACAGACTGACTCAGGGCAAGAAGGGGATGGGACAGTCACAGCCCAGCCTGCTGCAGAGCAAGGATGGGGGCACAGGATTCCAGAGGCTGGATGGGGCACCAGACCAAGCTGTCAGGTTCCTAGTCCTCAAGCCTGCATAAGCTGAACTCACGCCGTCCTTCATCTATCCCGTACTGGTGTCTGCAGACAGCCTGTCCACCAGCTGCACTCCTGCCAGTGCTTTCAAGTAGCCAACAGTGGAAACCACATCACCAGGTTCACTCACTGCTTACCTAATTCTCTTCCACAGAACAACCCTCAAATCCCTCCTGCTCCACATGAGGATGGCAGGGACTAGGTGAGCTCCCAGGAGCTGCAGAGCCATGTCTGCCATTGGGTTGCGCAGAACAGGTGGTGTATCCCATCCCATACAGCTTCACACTGATCTGCACAGTATGTCACAAACATGATAGAAATATTATTCTCTCTTCCCGGAAGGAGCCACCTACATGATTGCTGTAAGGAGTGATAACATGGTTGTATTTCTCATCTGCTGCTTTTAATGCTGAGGGCTCTGTCCCACAAATATTAATGCATATGCATAGATTAAATCATGCAGGCATTCTCACTGGTGGAATAGGGAACAACTTGCACAAATACAGTGATGCACACACAAGTGCTTACAGAACTCAGGACTAAGATGAGTGAGTAACCTTATGTAAACCTCTAGCTTGGATTCAAACCTTAGAAGATAATAAAAATGGGCAATTTACACAGCATATTTACATTTACACTTCTTTAAGAAGCGATTCTTATGTATATACTTTAAGCAGGTAATTTAAAAAAAAAAACAAACAAACAGCACAAATGTAGAAGAATGGTACCAGAAGTGGTCTGGTCTCCCACCAGGGCAGTTCCAACTGCATTGCTCCCAACACTTGCCAGAGGAAAGAACATGCCCTAATTGAGCCCGGAGCTGAGGATTGCTGGAAGAATGTGGAGATGAGAACAGCAGCTCCAACAGCTGTCCTGAAACCCAGAAAGCAAATGGCAGGGAACAAAAAAGCCTGCGGAGCTCACTGCATGAGGACCAGGTCGGGCTGGGCCATTTGGGACAATTTGTGCGTGCATTTTCAGCCTTATGCTCCAAAATACTGTGATCCTTCATTAGACAAAGTATTTTGTCCTTGACAACCTTTGGAAAAGAAAGTCAGATGTGATGTTCTCTTGGTGAAGGGCAGAACAAAGTTATTTTCTCCACTTAATATTCAGTTACCAGAGCCAGCTCTGGTGTCAGGTTGACAGTGATGTTCTTATACAAGGCGTCATATGTGACATTAGGAAAGTAGTTCAAATTATTGAGGCCATCCAGGGCTTGCCTTTCTTTTGACTTTCTCAGCAAGGCGTACCTGTTTAGAGAGAAGCAGAGGCCCATGGAACACCACCACATCACCTCCTGTACATTCCTGGCATGCAGGCATCCCCAAAGTACACAAAATTCTACAGTTTAATAAAGATGCTGTCTGCTCTCCAATTCTTGCCCAAAGACTGCCTGGGCTCAGGGAAAGCCCCTGGCTCAGGGCCAGCCAAAGCGTCCCGGAGAAAAGCAGTGATGGTGAGGAAGTCCTCATCATTTTTAGGAAACTGGATCATGCACAAAAGCAGAACTAAGTGTGTTAGTCTGAGTGATGAGAAAGGAGATGAATTGTGTTTTGGGGAAGGAAACTGTAGCTGCATAAGAGCAGCCTCAACCAAATTTAGAGGCGGTATGATAAAAAAAAAAAGCAGCAGCAGTCTGGTGGCAGGATAGGACCCAGCCTCCACCCTGCAGCACAGCTGTGTTGACACCTAGCTGCGCTCAGGGCAAGGGGAAGCTAAGGGGAGTTGGAGAGGAAAAGCACTAAGAAACAAATACGCCAGGAGGAAGAGGAAAGCGCTGGGTCACAGCAAAGGAGGATGTACCTAAGCTAGCTTCAAAGATCTGACGGCATCAGGAAATGTCAGCATAACAAATGTTTCCATAGAAAAGTGGTAAGGTCACCCTGCTTAGGTGGGGAACACTACGGCAGAAAGCAGGAAGGGCAGCCTTCAGAGGAGATGCAGGCACACTAGGATCCCCTTGCCTTCACATTAATGTGCCAGAGCAGTCCCAGCAGCAGTTTGTCTCTCATCTTCTTCACAGCTTACAGTTGTTACTGCCCTTTAACAGCTGCTGGGAGCCCTGTACATACTGTAAATTTAGTTAAGGTCTCAGGTTCCTTAAAAGTAATAATAAAAATCACTTACCTTCCTAGGAACTGCACTTCTCCTCGATGATGGTGGGGAATTGATTTGTATCTCCCTGTGTCTCCTTCTGGTCGAGTCACTGAATAGCCTGCATACTGCACTCTGCATTGGAAAGGGGAAGAAAAAAGTCTACTGTTGCACATGCTGTGAACACTGCCAGCATGCACAATCAGTGCACTCGTGGCTTCTACAGCACCAAGGAAAACTGCACACAAAGCTCATTATTTCACAGCCAGTCTTCCTCAGTTTGTTTTCTATCTGTAGCCTGCAGTGTCACCCACCTGGACCTATGTCACCTTCAGCCAAGCTGGCTCTGCCCAGCCCAGCTGAGTACAGCACAGCAAGGATACAACAATGCTTTAAGTCTGAGGCTGCTCCTAGCACCATGCTCAGAAATTTGAGTTCATGGAATTTCTGTGCTCCACAGAGCTGGCAGCAGCAGCATGCTGCACGAAGCTCTGTTGCTACCCCATTACAGGGTTGCAGGACACAGGCAGAGACATACCTGTTCCATAAGTCGTCATCCTCGCCGCCCCAGCCCCAGAAGGCATTAGGGAAACCATTGATCTTCCAGAACTGCTCAACAGTCAGGCCGCTCACCCCACCGAAGAACTCATTATAGGGAAGCCTGAGCAGGAGAGAGAGGTCAGGAGCAAGGCATCAGCCACCACACAGCCCCTGCCAGAGCTATGAGAATATTCTCTTCCCTTGTCCTTTTAATGTTTTACTTTACACTCCTGCCCTTGATAAGAAAATCCAACACTGCTCCTTATCTATTACTGCAGTGCAGAGGAAGAACAGTGCTTACAGGTACATGTACTTGTCCAGTTTGGCTGCAAAGTGTCTTGGCATCTGTCCACACCCGTAATAGTTGCGGTCATTTTCAGGTATGTGGTCCACATCATGGAAAATGAGACAGTCCCAGTCCAAGTCCTTCATTGCTTCCCGAAAGCCAACATTGAAAAGCATGGCACGGTTGAAGGGCTGAGTACCAGCCTAGAGAAGAACAGAGCAGAGGCACCTTCAAAGGGAGTCCCATGCCATGCAAGGGCATTCCCACGCAGACTGAGGGAGCTGAAGACAGTCCGCTCCCCAATCCACTGCTCAGAAAGCAGCGATATCTTGAAACAGACAGATTAGTGTGATTAACCAAAGCTTACATAGCAGGATAAAGATGTGAGAATTATTAGTCAGATACTTGAAAAACATTTTTGAACAATCTTCACTAGCTACTACCCAGAAGAGCAAGGACAACTAAACAAGAAGGCATGTCTACAGGGTGGATGAAGCCATATAGCTCAAGCGACAGGTTCATACACACATCAAATTACAGCCTGATGTTCCACATTTGTGGAAGCCTCCCAGAGATCACATGGACCAGAGCTGAGCACATCCCTGAGGCCCAGAAGATGCCACAGACACACAAAGGTAATGTGGTAACTGAAAATACTTGCTTCAAAGAAGTCTTAAAAAAAAAATCTCCTCCAGTGTAGTATTTTCAAGAAATTTGAATGTCTACTTTATTTTTTAGATTAAAAGCAGTCACTATGGGGCAATATCTTTGCCAATTTTAAGATGGGACAATTTAAACATTGCAACATTAACACCAGAGGTTAAGAAGTTTGGATCTAGCAGGGACACAAAACAAAGCCGTGCTGGCAAGCTGCTGCTGCACTGACACCAGAGCATACTCACCAGTGCTGCCCATCATGACCACTTACTTGTTCTACAACATAAAATGCAAACTGTAAACGCTGACGCTGCAGCATTGGAATAAGGTGCCTGAAAAGGACTGGAAGATGCTCATAGCGATTGCGGAATGGGATCAGGATCGCCACCTGAGAAAGAAAAAAGCTCATGCTGCAGCCCAAGAGCAGCTCCCTACAGACCCCAAACCAAGGAGATGCCTGCTGGCACAGCATTAGCATTGTTTTTCCCTGTATGAATGAGTTGACTCCCATGTAGGGCTGGGCAGCCTGAATGCCTTCCCACCCTCATGTCAGGGCTCTGGTATTCACTTCTTGAGGGAATTTTTGCTGATCCTGCAAGGCCTGCAACCCCCATCCCTGTGCCCCTACCCAGCAGCACAGAGGCAGCAGCAGGGCAGCTACACTGCACTGTGCCACTCCCCCTGGGTGGATTCCCTGTCACCTCCTCCCCCGGGGAAAACTCCTTCCTACACAGGACAGGAACATGCTGGATTGCTCATCAGTGGGAACCAGATGAGCAAGTTCCTTTCTGCCTCTTTACTGCCCTTGCAGAAATCCAAAGCTGACTCGTGTCATTAACATAGCCATCAGCAGCAGCATTTCTTCTGCAGCTGCTACAGTCCCACCTCCCAAAAATCCTCACACCCACCACTCTGCAGCACATCAGATATGTAGACTCCAGCATTCCCAGTACCCCATTGCCCTGAGGTGCTCCTCAGTGCCCATTCACCTTCCAGCGAGGCAGGCAGTCGCTCGGCTTCCAGTGGCCTCCCAGCTTGATGGAAGGGTCTTTGGAGAAGAACTGGTGGATGTCCTCCATCGTAATCTCGCTCATATTTACATCAATGGGGCCCTCTGGGGAGGTGGCAGGAGGAGGGGGTCAGGAGCCATGTGGTGCCTGCCTGGCCCTGCCATATCCTCAGCACCAAGCACAGGTGTCTTCTGTCCCAAGACACTAGGGACAACTAAGGAGCCATTTTCCCCTTTTCAGAAACATCTACCTTGCAAATGCTAATTTTCCAATTAATATTGCCTATGGAGGAGCATCGCTCCTGGCTGCACCCTGCAGCCTTTGCCCAGTTTGGAGTTAGGGAGCTGGAAAAGGCCTGCCCAGTTTCCTAACTGCCTAGCAGCACACTATTCCCCTTTTGTTCATGTTTACCAAGCAATAGGCAAGCCTCAGGAGGGAGACACACCTCCAATGTAGCAAGAATTAATATGTGCAATTGGGTAAAAAAAGACTACCCAGGGAGGGACAGTTCAGAACCGTGCTGTCATTCATCCCTGGAGCACTGTGGGAGAGGTGGGACAGAGTTGAACCAGGGTGCTGCAGAGTACCATAGTGTGCTGTGCCATGATAGGGTAAGGGGCATGGAGCTGCTGGGCATGCAGAGTACTCACTCATAGAAGGGAGCTTCTCAGGACAGGTGTGGTTGGGGAAGTACGTAAAATCTTCAGGAAGAAAAGTTGTAGCTTGCAGAAAGGTTTCATTGTGATTCAAGTCAAGAGGATAATCTGGGGAAGCGGGGAAAAAAGGAAAAGAATGTCTACACCAATTTGCCTGTCCACCATAAGCAAATCCCAACACCTGAGCACATTCCTAGTGTCACAGGGGTGTCCTCATGAGGCACAAGCCCCTGGTTTGGCACCATGACCCAGTGCCACAGGTGCATCCCCAGTGCCTTGGGTGAAGCCACACAAGAGAAACTGTCGGCTTCTTGATTAGACTGTTGCCTTCAGGCATCACAGACAAGTCAAGGCAAAGGGGTGCAGTGGAGAAGGAGCTTCTGCCTCCTGCAGGGCTCAGGAGCACGGGGCCAGTATGGAGCCAGATACAGGATTCATGCTGGGCTTCTACATTCCAGCAGGCCACAGTCCATTTTTCAAGCACTTCCTCCACTTCCTTTTACCTTCTGATAAAAGCCCCTGAACTGCTGGCACCTCCAGCTGCTTTACATCTTTGCGTAACTATGAAATTCTGCTTTCTACATCTACCCAGTCATCAGCTTTGCATATGCAGCTCCAGCCTACCACAATTTATGCTTCCAGCACAAGAGAAGTTCCCTTTCTGTAATAATGCATCAGCTGCCATGGGAGGATGCTGCCTCTCCATTTTCTCAGCCCGCTCCCAAGGGCTTTGTCCCTGCAGGAACTACCTCATATCCCAGGCAGTCTCACACCCCAAGCCCACTGGAGTTCATCACCTCCAACTCCTGCCTTCTCCTCCCTACATATTAGTGATACTGCTCTAGATTTTAATAAAAAGATTCCCATTAAGCTCATACCACTAGAACATGCTCTTGATGCTTGATTTCACTGACAGAGTGAAACTCAGCTCTCCTTCCTTGCATGGAGTGCTGCCTCCTTTTGTTGCTGAAACACAGACAAGATCCTCCTGGCTCACTTGCACAGGAAATTTATTAATGCATCTACTATAAAATGCTTAAGAAGTCATAAATTACTTCCTCATTTTAATAATGGGACAAAAAAATACAGCAAAGGATGAATATAGCAGGCAAGGCAGAAGGATTTTGTCTTGCAATTGACCACTCTGTGCTTTGTCACCTTGCCATTCAGGACCAAACACCACATTTAAGCTACCTGTCTAGAAATTAAAGCTGCAGGAGCTGGAGGGCACACACATCCACAAGCCAGCTCTGTACAGAGATACTGCCTTTCATTGCCTCACTGGGGATGCTCAAAGAACATCAGTAGCTTCCTGCCCACTGGGAGCTGGGGTAACCAGGAAGGAGCCAGTTTCCTCATGCCCTGAAGCCTTTGCTGCCTCCTGATGGCTTATTTCCTAGGTGGCCTGCACGTATGGCTTGGGTCCCTCAGCTCTCACACAGCAAGAAGATTTACATCACTGGATATGCAGCATGCCCACAGAAATCATGCTGAGGGCTCTGAAAACACTCAGAGAGGAAGATGCTGACCCAGTGTCAGTACTGCAGTTGTGGTCACAGGGCCACATGCCTGACATATGCTGCCACCACCACTTGCTCTAACCTCACAGCCAGGGGAGAGTCACCCAAGGCTGGTGTGTAGCAGAGTACAGCAGGCAAGTTGTCCATCCACATGTGCAGAGCCGATGTCTGGGCACAGCCAGTTCTTTCAGCAGCAGCCATTTCACTGCCCACTTCATAGAGTTGATGGCCAACTTCAGAGGGCTCAGACCCCATGCAGCCCACCAGTTAGAGGTTTGCATCACCAAAGCACCCAGTCTCCTTCCCATGGCCCCATGCCATTTCATATACAAACAGTATACTTCTGTTGCTGTGCTATATTTATAGCAACACTTTCATTAACTGTAGGTTAGGGGTGGGAATGGCCTGGGATCCAATGCTGCCTCTTGGATACCAGTGCTCTGCCCACAGCCTGATCAAGGGCTCGTGGCAGCTCTCCAGCTAAGTCTCTGCAGTTCACCCTGTATTGGGGGAATGAAGCTGATGAGCACAGGCTCCTCCATGTGTGATGCCAGGGCTCTGTGAGCCTGTGTGAGCCCAAAAGTTTTGTTTGGTTGTTTTTTGTTTTGAAATCTGAAACCTGATCATAGAATGGTTGGGGCTGGAAGGGACCTTTAAGATCACCTAGTTCCACCTAGCCCTTTGCTAAAGGGGCTGAATTTAAGTGTTTATCCTCAGAGCGATTGAATCTAACATGCTGATGCACCTGGAAAGCAAAGAGGCTTTCAGCTCAATATCCACTCATTTGAGACCTATCAAAGATTCTACCCTTTATTTAAGCGAAACATTTACACTAAAATATACACACACACACAAAACAGTCAAAACTCCCACCCTGCATTTATCAACATAAATTACTTCCTTCAAGGAAGAGAAATTGAGTTCAGCCTTATTTCCAATGGAAATGGAACTTTTAATTAGAACCATAATTGTTAAAGAAATACCTGAGTCATTCACACTGCTGTTCCTCTTGGCATAGGCACTGCGGACCACCTGCTCATACACCTGAGCTCCTATTGTTCTCATGTTTTCACGAATCATGATACCTTGGGCTTGCATCATGAAGAGGTAGGTGTTCACTGCAAAAAAACCCAAACATTTCCATAAGCATCACCTGTTGCAGGCAAGAGAAACGCAAAACTTTTAAATGCTTTCCTGCTGCCCTGAAGCTCCTTGCTGCTGGCACACCTCTGGACCACACATGCTGGGGCGACCCAGGTTCCATGGAGGTCATGGCATGGGCAGAACACATTTGCAGCCAGTTGATGAGCTCATCCACCAGCCCAGTTGCCATTGGTGTCAGATGTTGTATTATGTCTTCTGCTGCATAAGGACAGGCATTTAATTCGGAAGTGAGCCAGGCTAGTGCCTCAAAACAGGATACATAAACATGTCTCCTCTTGCTATCTTCAAATGAAACCCTCGTTCTGCCCACATCCAACTCAGTGTGTTTCCCCATATAAGTAAATATCTCGCTCCACAGCTTAGATGTGCTTTCATCAGCCTGCTACAGCCTGCCCCAGCATACCACTACCATAGTACCAAAGGGCCAGCAGCAGGAAGAGCTCATTTAATGCTTCTTCCCAGCCCCTCCTGGCCCATCAAATGTGCCAGTGATGGAGGTCACAGGAGCGCATAATGCAAATGCAAAGATTGAAAAAGATGAATTTGCCTCAAAGTTTGTCAGAGTGCATTCCCCAGCAGTTCAGCCTCTTCCTGCCCAAGGGATGGGTGATACCAGCACAGCAGTGAGCAGAAGCTGAACCTCCAGTGTGAGGAGCAGCACAAGGACCAGCAAGGCACAGCTCCACCTTAGCCATCACAGCAAGGATTCAAGGCTTGCCATTTCCCTTTCTAAACCCCCAAAGGAAAATCACAATACAGGGCACAGCCTTTCCTTGTTTGCTCAGGCAGCCAGAGGGTAGTTGGAGCTGCTGGAGATCTGTACCAGCATCAGGATGCGATAACAGCAGCAGGGCCCCACCAGGTTTGCACTTTCCAGCTCACACAGGATCAGAGTCAGTGCAAGAAACAGCTTGCTGATACTGAACAAGTCATTTCTACTCCATTATGCCTTCTATTCACTGCATAACGTGACATCAGATTTGGTGAAGTATGAAAGAATGAAAGAGACACAAATCAGCACCCAATCCCCACCTAATTTAAGGAACAGGGAGGTTTGTCCAGCGCTGAATGTAGTGTTTGTTGTCCCCGTTCCCTAACAGGAGAGATGAAGCACGGCGTCACAGGAGCCACATGACATGATTTGCTCATTTTGACTTTCATGAAATTGCAGTGGGAATCCTTAACAGACTGTCACAGCCATTACCACCGCCAGGGGAACTCAAGTGAAAACAAGTCTATCTTTGTTCCAGGCAGCACTGCCTTCTCCCATGTTAACTGCTTTGCAAAGAGGGTCAGGAGCCATGCACCAAAGACCCCCCAGGACCTCACTTCCCTCGCTGATGCTGTGGACCCCACACTATGACCATTATACATGCTCATTCCTATGTCCCAGGAAATCACATTTAAAACGCATTATTTATAACATTTCGCTCTTTATACCCACACAGTGCCCAAATCAGCTCGGTGCAGCTGCCAGGGCTGTACTCAAACCCACGCAGGCCCACACTCCCCCTGGCTTTTGATTGTAGTGGAAACAGGCTGTAATTGCATAACACACAGCTCAGCTGCCTCCAAGGCCAGAGTCACAGTGCCATCAACATCATTGTCATCACTGGCTGTGACCATGGCCCCTGCTCTGGGAGCAATGTGCATGGCTGAGCCAAGTTTCAGCCAGAAAACAGATCTCTGCAATGAGAGATATCGCTAACAATCACATCAGACCACATGGGAAATTACACTAGCATTCTCTCTTTATTCAATTTGAGCACACAGCACTTCAGAGCACATCCACAGAGTGCTTGCAGCCAGGCTACATCACGAATAGCTGCACAAGGACAGGAGGGGATCTCAACCACCATCAGGAACTTTTTGGGGTTCCCTCCCCAGTGCATTTCCAGAAGACTCTCATTATCCACACAGAAAACAAGCAAAATTCAAAAATCTGTTTGCCCAAGTGATTGAGATAACATTATTCCCATTAGTTTAAGGGACAAGCCAATGCTGCTGGGATGACACATGAGAATGCAGCACCAGGGTCACAGCAGCACCCAGAGACTGCACCGTCCAACCCACACCTCAGTGAGCATATGGAAGGGGTGGGGGGGAAAATTGGTACTCAACAACACTGGGGCAGCAATTTGGATCAGAGAAGTCCAGTTGCAGAAATAAGCAGTGAAGGCTTACTCTCTTATTAGCTGGTATTTTCAGAGCACTTCTAATTAAGAAACAGCTGGTTCCCTCATGGAAAATTAATTTCACTGTGATAGCACATACAAGAAATGACAGAGCAATTTCTAGCACAGCAGTTTGTTTGGAAGAGTGCTGAGCATGACCCAAGCCAGCTGCCAACACAAGAGGGGCTCAGACCCAATGTATCCTGTTCCTGACCCCAAAGGATCAGACTGTCCCCAGCTCAAGGACAGCAAGGTCCCAGGAAGAGGTGCAAAATGGATGCCAGCACTGTGCCTCAGCAGTGGTATAAGCAACTCAGGCTTTGAGAAAGAAGCAGCGCGTCTGTCTCTGTAAGTTTTCTGTCACACTGTCAGCATTGAGGAGTTGCTTGGGGGTTCCTTTCCCTCCGGATGTAAAACAACATACAGTCAGCCTGGGCCCTGCCCTTGGAGCAGGTGCTGGAACAACAAAGCAATAAATCCTAACCACACACACAGCTCATTTGGCAACAGGAGAGCACATAAAGTACTGGATTCATACAGGAGACAGACAGACACCAGAGATGTGAAGGAAGATCTGGAATGCCCCAGGGCACTGTCACGAAGCTCCTCCAGCAAATCCCAACACAGCCTCATCAGCAACATAAAGCAGTTTTCAAACCACACTCACCTTAGACTCAGCCTCTAAGGAAAAGATAGTTATGATAGACAGAACCTGTAAACACATTAACGAGAAAGATGGGCAGTTGCAGCATCCCATAGATAACACACCTGGAGACCTCAGGCTCCATTAGCCTTCTTGTGCAGCAGCACTGTATTCCCAAGTATACAGTGCTAGAACAATTAAATAAGAGGTTTGATTAGTTTTGTATAATTTAATATTAATGCCAACACTGCAGCTTATCCCTTTGCCTATAAATAGCACAGTAAGGAGTTACTTGATAAGTTAAATGGCTTAAGAATTAGCAGGGCAGCAGTATCTATCCGGTAATTACAGAGCAGTGTTCCCAACCTGGCTGGTTACCAGCCCTCACATGCACCAGGCAAGGGGGATGATCAGACACCACTGCAGTGGTGTTTGACCCAATGTTGGGAGTTTGCATCTTGAAGAGGTAAGGAAAAATTTAAAAAACTGTGGAGCATGGGGAAGCCAGATTATTCTAACAGTCCCCACGCATTAAGAGAGCAGCTTTACTGGTAGCACCACAGGCCATTGTTCACTGCCTGCTCCCTGCACACATCCCATGGGATCCACTCCTTGTTGACTGTGGGGCAGCCTGTACAGCTGGCCCAGATTTTCTAAGGACACTGATAACCTAAGGCATTTGTTAGCTTATTGAGAATTAGGTAACCTTGGAATACCAAACATGTTTGATATCGTTTCTTTCCCAGAGAATGACCTCATTAGAAGTATTTCATCCTGCTATCCATTAACTTACTGAAAGCTCACCAGAGCCATCCCATCATACACATGGCCTGTGTGATGCTTTCCTGGCTACCAGCAGGGTGCAAAACACAGGAGTCAGTTTGGCGAGCCCTGTCATATACCTGTCATATGCTCCTAATAAAGATCTGCATTGGTTGCCCACTCCTGTACTGCCCCCTGTAGTGCCCTAACACCCAGGAACATCACACACTTGCCAGCAGCAGAGCTGCTCCGACAGCATCCTGAGAAACCCCAAAACCTTAGCCCAGCAGGAATATGAATTAAGTGCCCCAGCATCATAAACCAAGTTTATACTACCCTTCAGTGTTGGGAGCAATGCTCTGTAATGAAGCTACATATTAATCTCAGTTAAGCAACAACTTATGCTGTTGTCCTGCTTATGAAGAAGCAAAATTGCTTCTTCGCAGGTTTTTGGATATACCAGGTAAAGTATTCGCAGTTAGACCAACAATCATATACAGACTAAAGAACTTAACTCATCCAACTGGTAAAGGAGATCTCCGGCTATGCAGTGCTCCTTCACAAGAAGTAGCTTAGGTCCAAGAGATGTCCTCTCCTCAGTGGCTAGACCTTATACAAGCCCAGGGTAGCTCCACCCCTTCTGAGCCTGTGGGGAGCACAGGCACAAACAGTTTGCTTGTGCTCCCTGGGCCAGCGACACCTCTTCACCAGGCACTCAATCATCAGTTCAAGCAGTGACCTAGCAGCTCTCCTACAGCTGTTCAGCGAGTGAGCTCAGCAAGGGATAAAGGGGGCCTGGTTCAGAATCAAGCAAGGGGCAATGGGAACATCACCTACAAGCAAAATCTCAGCCTGTGAGGGACAGGAAGCTTACAGCTGCCACACTCCCACCCCATCAGGTTTTGCTGTTCTCTACCAACAGGAAAAAGAACTGATACAAGCTCAGCCTGGGGCACACACTGTGCGTGAGCTTCCCATAATCCCAAGGTGTCACCCTGCTTGTCCTACATTGTGACCACCCCCCATCACTTGGGGACTCTTTAGTTGCCAAGAAATTGCAGAGTACAGCTCCACAGACCAAATGACCACAGAGGGTGAGCACTGGGAGTGACACAGAACTATCATCCCTCTTTCCCCACAGAAACTTGAAGATGACCACACAGCAGCAGCAGGTGTTTCTGCAAGGCACACACCTGTTTACCAGGGATCTGAACACTCATTAGTTAATATAGGAAGCAGGGCTGCAAAACAAACAAGACAGACAGGCTAAGGCAGCCTCCCCACCATACTCCTGCACCACGCTCTCCCTCTGCAGCACTTCCAAGCTCCATGCTGTGAGGGAGCAATCTGAGAGCTGTCCAAAAGGGATCAGCAG